TTTAGAATATAAAACAAATATTTAAATTTATTATAAATATCATACAACTTTTTTAAAAGTTGAAATAGATAACCTTTTAAAGTTAAAGTGTGAGAGTCATTTTCCTTAACAATATTCTCATCAGATTCTTTATCAACAACTTTCTCATCAGATTCTTTATCAACAACATTATAAGATTCTAGATATTTTATAATACAATAAAAATTAGTCGTTGTCTGTAAAGCACACTTTAACTAAAAAAAAAAAATTAAAAAGCAGATACCTTTTGTAGGCAGATCCTGTATCACATCAGATTGTCCTAAAGTAAATTTAACAAAACAAAGTTTAATATATTTTGTGTTCATTTTGTGTAATTTTATAAATAAAAACTGTAATTTTATAAATAAAAAAAATTAGGTAAGGCCTAAAAACTCTTTTTAAACACCTTTATACTTAGTAAAAATTTTGGACAATTAAGCTTTACAAAATATAAGTAGAACATAAAAATCAAAAGATTTGTTAATGTACTCAAATTAACTTTTAAGTACTTATGAATACGCCAGAAACTAATACAAAAAATACATACCAGCATCAATTTTCATTAGTTGCTTCCCAACACGTGTTAATTCCAATAATGCCAATGGAGCCTGATAAAAGTCTTGATTCATTTTTTCAGAGTGTCCCATATGGGAGTAAAATAACTCTTTATCTTTTTCTTCTACATCAAGAGATGCAAAAAGTGTGCTAATCCTATGCCGATTTTTGGTGGCAATTATGTCCTTTGGTGATTTTAATACTAACTTTGAACAAATTTTGTTCACAACATGCCACCCTGAAACATGATTTTCAGATCCTTTTGAGCTTGCAAATATAAACTTATTACTTGCAAGAACGCGACCAACTTTACGGAAAGATTCGTTAGAAAGTTTTTTCATTGCAAGAATCGTGTCTCCTGGAATAATTACTGGTACTAGATGGTTATTACCTTCTCCAGTCATGTAAATAACTTTCATACTCTTCACTAAAATGCGGTCTAAACTGTCAAGTTTTTTCAGTCTTTGTTTATCAATCCATTCATCATTTTCTCCTTGCAACCAATCTGCTAACAAAATTCGAGCAGGTTCACCACCTCTTCTGCCATTTAATAAAGTTATGCGTGCACATGCAGCATTTCTAAGCTTTTTATAACTGCTTTCATCATCAAAATGAAATTTACTGCAGATTGAACTCATTAGCTCTATTACGTGATTTTTAACAATAAGTAAATCATCTTCTTGTGGAAGTCTTGATGGTTTTCTTAAATTAATTTGTCGTTTTTTATTTAAATGGTATGTTGCATCACCAAATAGATAATCCTGCCAACCCTTAAAAGATTGAATAAATTTGGAAATCTCAGCAGCTTCATCATCTTTCTTCCTTGAGTAAAATGAATACTGCACAAGAGTTGCAGATTTTTTGATAAGATAATACAAGTTTTGTTTTAAGCCTGCTTTAAGAGACAAATCTTCTCTTTTTGTATACAATTCTATGGCCTCAGAAAGTTGCTCAAAATTACTCCGATTAAACATATCTAGAGAGTTGGAATATAAAGCATGTATACCATCCAGCTGCTTAAAAATATTATAGCAATTCGCAAGTCGCCGCATATCTCCCCTTACAGATCGAAAAACTTCTGCCGCTTTATCCTCTTTTTTGTGAAGTTTCCAATACAACTTAGAACCAATGTATACAATATTTTCGTCAGTGCAGCATAGTTTACCAATCTCATCATTTCTAATTTTTCCTAAAACATTCCTTACAAAACCTGGGTCAAGATCTAGCGACTTGGGGATATCTAACGATTCAGTAGAAACTGGAATTGGTTCAACTGCATTAATTGTACTAAGTGAACACTTTTGAGCATGCCTGGTGAAGAACCTCTTGCTTATGAAACTGTTGCAAGCACTGCATCGCATTAAATTTTTATATTTGGTGCCACTTTTTTCACGTTGATATATAGGATTATCAGTGGAAGACTGACTTTTATTGTAAATTAATATTCCTTCTCTTCTTATTTTAGCAAAGAGTTTTTTACTAACTAACTTTGGCTGATTCACAGCCTCAACAACCAGAGGCTCTTTTCCATGCTTATTTTTTAAATGTCTACTTAGCTTTTGTTTCATTTGGCCACAAAATATGCAGAGTCTAGATGGTCTTTTATTATCTGATAACCTCTAAAAGAAGAAAAAAAGAAATCTAACATTTGTTTAGCACTTATAGAAATAAAAATAGAAAATAAAATAATTTCTTATGTTTATAAATATAGCAAAGGTTACTTTTCCTGTAAGTTTCTCTTTGTATTCTACCTCTTTCATAACAAAACCCTAAACAGATAAACTAACTTTAAAATAACAAACAAAATAAGTTTAAGAAATATGCTAAATGTAAATAATTTTACCTCAGCATTACAGTCATCTACTCTTTGGACCCCAATAAAGTCATCTACTTTTTTTATGGCAGGAATCTAAGTAAAGTGATCAATCAAAATAGTTAACTTTAATAATAATTTTTACACTATATAATTTTTCTACAACTCACAATTCTGTTACAAATAAAGCATTAAATATACCTTTAAAGATTCAGCATCGAAAACCTTCTCCAAAACAAAATCTAAAAACTCTCCCTCACTTTCAGGAAACTTTTCTTTCATTTTATAATCTATATATTCATCATGCAGACTTACGTCTTGGATGCGTAAGGAACTCTATTGGTATACAATATTTATATTTGGAAATTATCCAATTTACTTAGCCAAAATGCTGTTAATAATCAATAAAGTATAATAAAGGTAAGACTTACTATTTTAGAAACATACTTTAAACTTTCACAACTATCTAAACCACAATCACTGTCTCCAACAATTTCCTATTCAAATTATTGTAGAAAGTTGTGATTTACATACTCTATTTTGTAAATGTATTTATGTACATGAGTAAAATAAGTTTACAACACATATATACAATTAAATCTATTTGCAAGTCTTGTTTAATACATAATTAAGAATAATATAAACAAATACTTTTACAAACAATTTATGACAATAAAAAACTAAATTAGCAAAAATTGATTCATGCAAAATATACAAATGTAACCATTTACAAACCTCTGAAATGTTCAAGTCGTCAAACACTATTGAATCCTCAGATTCCATGTTTAATTAGAAATTTTTTCTAAGATTATATTAATAATAATGAAAAATTTATTATTAAAAAGCGCAAAAATATCTCTATGATATGACTAAAAAAACGCAAATAAGAAAAATTTTACTCTAAAAATTTTTTTACTTGTTATATACCTAATACACCATTCTATAAACTTTAAAACTTATAATTCAATGTAATCAAGCTAAAGTAAACGATTTACTTTAAAAAAACTTAAATAACTATAAGAATCCACAAGAAATTCAACAAAATATATAAGTCCCCGCATTGTTAATTTTAAACGCATTGAGATTTTCGATGACTTAAACATGTGGAAATTTCAATCTTTTTGCTTCATGGGAAATTTTTGCATAAATTATCAAATTTTAACTAATAACAATTGTTTACAGAGCCTAATATGGTCATATAACTTTAACTTATGAAAAAAATATATATATATACTTATGAAATAAGCTTCAAAACTTTTCGGGGACACGATTATGTCCCCGTAAGACACAAGTCCCCGCAATGTCGCATTTTATCGCATAAAAAGTCCCCGCAAGCTGCTATTAGAAATATATATATATATATATATATATATATATATATATATATATACATATATAAATATATATATATATATAAATATTTATATATATATATATATATATATATATATATATATATATATATATATATATATATTATACATATATATATGTATATATACATATATATGTATATATATATATATATACATATATATATATATATACATATATATATATATATATAGATATATATATATATATATATATATATATATATATATTATATATATATATATTTATATATATATATATATATATATATATATATATATATATATATATATATATATATATATATATATATATATACATATATATATATATATATATATATATATGTATATATATATATATATATATAAATATATATATATATATATATATATATATATATATATATATATATATATATATATATTACGAACACACATGCAAAAATTATGGAACTACATGATTTATTGTATTACACTGTAGATTAGTTTTTGATTCCTTGTACATTAATAAGGTTCTAACTTTTTTAAGTTTACTATTCATTCCATGTTTAAATAGTGAAAGGAAATTTAAGAGTTCAAATGATGAAAACGCTAAAAACCTTTGTTCATAGCTGTACCAATTTTAAAATAAATACGTGTTCATTTTTCATCACTAATATTTTTTGTGCATTTATATTTACAAGAACTTTACAGTCTTTTGTTTTGATATTAGACTTGCATGAAATATTTCTCTTTCCATTTTTATACGGCTGATCAGATTGTCTTAGCTGGTTTCTTACATTTTGTGTCTAAGTTCAAGATGGTGGTTTTCTTTTCCTATTTTTCCCTCAACCTAGGAGCAGACGGCGAGCTGGTACTATTTTAGTATTATTATCATGATAAACAAGGACAGTCAGATCAGTCTCTGAAGAAAAAAAATACATAAGTATATAAATATATATATATTTACCAAGGACTTAAAGAATAAATTAAAAATAAACAAGTCGAAAAACACTGCAGAAGTAATCAAATGGTTTACTAAGATAAGCGACAAGCAACACTGTGTATTTATACAACTTGACATCAATGAATTTTAACCATCTATAACAAAAGAAATTATAAATAAAGCTTTAATATTTGCAAAACAGCACACTGAAATCATCTCTACATCCATACCGAATCAAACCAACCGCCCCAAATTCCTAACCAGATTCCTCTCTCCATTAATGATTGACTATCGCAAAATTTTTCCAATGGAAATATATTTAACGCATCAAAAACAGAATACGAAGAAGCACTTAAACAAAACGATTTTAAAAACTTAACTTAAAGTATAACCTAAAAAGACACCTCTAAAAAAAAAGAAAATAATTTGGTTTAAACCACCCTACAATAAAAGCGTCTCCACCAATGTTAGCCAAATCTTTTTGCAATTAATAATTTTCCACCTTCAAAACCATTGCATAAATTATTCAATCAAAATACGAAAAAAGTAGCTACAGCTGCTCAAATAGTATTTCAAAAATCATAAAAAGCCACAACAAAAAAATAAATTTAGTTAACAATACTGAAAATCTCCCTTGCAATTGCAAACAAAAAGAAATCTTCCCACTGAATAAAAATTGTATAGCGTCAAACATCATTTACAAATGTATAACATATTCCCCAAACACACCCAGCAATGCATACATTGATTTATCAGAAGGAGTGTGGACAAAGAGGTATGCAAACCACACACAATCATTTTCAAATAAGGAACTTTCAAATGCAACCACTTTCTCAAAACATATATGGGAAACTAGGGAAAAACTGAAAGAAACACCAAAAGTAACTTGGTCTTTTCTAAAAAATCACCACGCCTACAACAATGTTTACTTTGTTTATTTAAAAAACTGATCATTTTAGTTTATAAAGATGCTGAAGATTTAATAAAAAAACAGAGTTAATTTCCAAATGTTGCCACAAAAATAAATTTCTACTAAGCAACCACAAACCTGAAGATTAGATACACGTGATCGTTACAATAAAAAAAAAAAAAAAAAATATATATATATATATATATATATATATATATATATATATATATTTATATATATATAACTGTGTGTGTGTGTGTGTGTGTGTGTGTGTGTGTGTGCGTGTATGTATACAATAATACACACACATACATATATTTTACATATATGTATGTGTGTATGTATGTGTAAATATATATTTTTTTGTTACCTGAAATATGCAAATATTTTTTCGCAGTAAAGTTCTTTGCAAGTAATATAAAAAAATAACTGGTTAAAGACCTGCTTGCTTTGATGCAAGTATGCATTTTTTAACTGTATAGGTGCATATATAAACTATTTAAATGAATATATTTGCATATTTATTTTTGAAAAATAAGGAAAATCTTAGCATAAGAGTATTTTTTTTTTACTGCATTATTCTCTGTAGTTAAGAACTGTTGCAATTTTAAAAGTTTAAAAGTTGTTCGTATTTTCCTACGCATGCATACCTAAACTAGCGCTTTTTGCTAATATCTAAACGACCGTGTTATTAAATGATATTTGGAAGATATTGTCATATGAAAAAATTTCTTTATTCATTCTGAATAAAAAAAACCTGCAATTATCTTAAAAAAATTTCAGTTCAGAAACAAACATCAAAAGCTTGAAATTGGATAAACTTGTTAATCTAATAGCCATTTTTAGGGTAACTTTTAATAATTTTGCCTATCACTCAATCTTGCCCTTTATCTTTAATTGCTTATATGTCAGTTACCTCACGCGCTGCACCATAAAAAAGACGCTCTTTTAGATCAGTAAACCGGCATTAATAAAAATCAAAACATTTTTTACCTCAAAAAATCGCAAATAAAAAAGTATGTCTTGAAGAAACTGTTGATTTTTAGTAATTATTTTGCTACTTAATTTGCCCAATTCAAACCAGCTGATGGAAATCTACTGAGTTAATTATTTATTATGCATGTTAAATTTTAATTTCGTTCTCCATTGTTTAATCTCTGATTGTAATAACATTTATAATCGTTTGAAATATTAGAATATGCATAAAATTGTTTTCTTCTCAACCTACCAAATTAACTTAATCTCGTTCACAGAATAAATATATTGCCGCCAAATGCATTTATTCTCGCCTGGGTGGGCGAGAATAGATGTAGCATAATATATTTGGACTTACGCTAACAGCAGTTAAAAAAAAAAGAAACCTTACGCGGTAACCCCTATTATTTTTTCGTTAAATTGGGATGACATATTAAAAAAAAATTAAAAAAAAAAATAAAATTTCGAAAGGATAGATTAAGAGCATATTCTTTTTGAATGCTTACAAAGAAGTTTTTTTTATGTACTTTTATTCTATATAGTATTGAGGAAATTATTTGATAAATTAATTACCCTTAATTTACCATCCTTGGCATTATCGTAAAAGTGAACCCCAAACTTTATTGGTATATGTTTTGACAAAAATTAATGATAACCACGTTAATTTATTTTTGGTTGCCTTCAAAACAATGAACTTTCTCAATGTATTGTTATCATGGAAATTAATTAAAAAGTAAATTGCTATGGCTCTGCCTTGAGTAAACGTATGAAAAGCTCATATTCATCAAAAACAAATAAGTTAGCTAAACGAAGAACAAAGAAAGTATCGCAAATAAGTAAACTTTGTCTGCTATTGCATTTCTAATTACTGGTAATTATTGGTAAGAAAGAATTTGGAATTTTTTCTTTTTATGCTATGTTTTTTTAAAAAAAAAAATTCTTTGTAGTGTTTACAATTAATTCATATTTTATTTGCGATTGTTTAATTTATTTTCAATTTAAGAACTGATGTTTTAGTTATTAAAATAACCTAACGTTTTGGAGTTAATTATTTAGTTGTTAAAATAACTAAAACATTAGGTCCAAAACGTTAGGCTCAATAGGTCCAAAACTCATTTTATGCATAATAAGAATGTTTTTATTCTTCTTTAATAGACTTTTGTAATTACTTAGCTAAATGCTTATTTACTTGATTGTAAATTAAGTACTGCGAAATTCTAGGGTTGAGATTCGTTTACGAATACTAAGATATGGTTTTCACCACGTGATAATATTTGTAACTTTTGTAAATTTGGAGCACTTTATTAAATTATTATGACATTCATACTGCAATATAATTTATCTAGGTATTGTCTTGAAAAAAAACATGGTTAAAACAAAAGGTAGGGGATGTAGATCATCACCAAGATTTCACCTGATGTCGGTTGGAAAGATTGCTTCTGTAACAGAGGCTAGAATATTTTATAATATAACTCATCTTGATGAAAGTATAACTCCTTCAACATCTGGTAGTAGTACTCTTGACATTTTTCAAATGAAACAGCTACCAACAATTGTTTCCAACAGATGTTTCTTTAACTCGTGTCAATGGTTACAATCATTCCATTGATCAATCAGTCACTTTTAAGAAACAGGGCAAATTTCTGAAATGGAGTGAAGAAATTATGATGAGTGCAATTAAGGCATGTCAGATCAGAGCCATTAT